GGGGGGGGGGGTAGGTAAAATTAACTGATTCTGAACATTAAGGAGTCAGAAGATTTTGAAGCTTGTCAGGGGATCAGGTATTACTTGGTTCATTTATAAAATGAACAGGGTAATAATGGCCTGGGGGGGAAGGATGGAAATGAATCTGACTTTTATAATTCACCATTGATGCAAATGTGTAATTTATATTTATATATTGGAATGTTGTTTTTTAAATTGCCGTCACTATAATAAAAATGTATATTTACTGAGGTTTCCCATATAAAAGCAGCAAGAGAGATCCTCAAAGGTCATTCCTTACTTTTATATAATAGATTTGTCTTTCTCATTTTATGTTGACAACAACCTCGTTGAAATAGGTGGGGCGGGGCCCTGGCTCAGCTGTGTGGCTCAGTTGATTGGGCATCGTCCTGGTCAGCGAAAGGTTGCCGAGTTCGATTCCCAGTCAGGGCACATGCCCGGTTGGCTCAATTCCTGGCAGGGGGTGTGCAGGAGTCAGCTGATTGATGTTTCTCTCTCCATCTCCCTTCCCCTCTCTCTCTCTCTAAAAATAAATTTTTAAAAATTTTTTAAAAAGAAAGAAATAGGTGGGGCACAGGTTTTTATCTTTGTTTTACAGATAAGAAAAGCTCCGAGAAATTAGGTGACTTGTCTAAGATCCTGTAGCTAGTCAGTCAGTGAGAGGATAGGGACTAGAATCTGGGCTTCATTACTCCTAGTCCAGTGCTCTTTCCATTTTAAAAGCTGTGGCTTAGTGAATTGGAGGAAAGATGCTAAACAGCTCCTATGCTGGATGTTGGACTTTTAGTTGAACAGGAGACATTAAAGAGGCTAATGCAGAGTCATACCGGGGAAGGGATGAAAGCAAGCTGAAAACCTGTCCGATGTGTTCTGCATTCTCAGCTATGAAACTGATACTTGAACTTTACTTTCATGTCTCTTTTAATCCTTCTGTTAAAATGGTATTTATTCTCAATGTTGCTCTTCTGAGCAGATCAAAAAGCAGATGAGGAACCAGATACAAATGAATGCATACCAGGAAGTGAGTAGCAGGTTCTTTTCTACAAATGACTAAGCGTTGCCACTGTACCTGGTGTTAAATATACTGAAATAACTAACCCATTAATAACACAGCTTTATTATTGGTACTAAACTCTTGCAGCTTACAAAACTATTTCATTCTGGCAAGGGCAGTATTAAAGAACATTTTGCTGCTGTCTGCGTTAAAAGATTAATTGCTGGTTCTGAGAAAGAGTTACATATTTTAAAAATTATCACATATACATATATATGTGCTGCATATATATGTTAATGCCGGATATCATCATTTTGCTAGTCCTTCTGCGCTTTGAGTCTTTGCATAAAATGAAGTTGGCAACTCCCAATATCACTTGGCTTTTAAGTTGCAGTATGGCCTTGAGTATTGGATCTCAGTGGCTTTTACACGAGCCTGTAGATATGAAGCAATTTATAATTTATTTGGATCTAAGAAAGAATTGTACTTGACAGTGTGTAGTATGGTTGTATATGCCTCTGCGTATCCATAGAAGCAAATTTTATGATGTCCAGGGTTTAAGCTCTGAGGTTTAAAACCGGATGCCAACAGTGTATATTCAACATGTAAAGCAAGTGAACATCTGAATCTTAAGAAATAAAGGTGCACTTGTGGTGGTTAATGTCCATCAATTAATTAATACTCCCCACCAAGCAAAGATTATGATTCTCCACTCTTTTCCATTCAGTCTTAAGATTGCTGTACTTTTTAACTGTGATTACAACGTTGAGCACAAATGGCGCATTGAAAAGCTGTTTGTGGGCCAAGCAAAGCATGTGGCTATGTGTGTGTGTCTTCTTAGCTCCCCAGTTTGTCAGTAGCACAGTCTTAGGCACTGATGGTCTGAGGATAATGACACATATGCCTGCCCTCAGGAGTCCAGCGGATTTTTAATAACAGTTTCCCAACATTCTTTGGATGTGCTCATAGGTCTTAATGAGAAGAGCAGCTTAAATGAAGGAGCCATTAGAGAGAGAAACAAAGTGCCGTTGCTAGAAGGCAGCGACATCTTGTCTGAAATCTGAAACTTTGCTCATGTGGTCCTCCTGCCGGAGATGAAGGTGCTGAGCTTTTAGCACATGACCCGACAAGTTCTTAAGAGCTACCCAGGGAAAAAGGCAACCCGGGCATTAGTCCTTGGTGTTATTCTGTCCAGCTGCTGCAGAGGGAACCAGACTTCTGTCCTTCAGGGGTGGTGGGTAAAGAGGCTTTACCAGTTGCTTTTTTACTGACAAATGCTTAGATTTGGGCATCTTATTTTATCTTGCTGTTTTTTCAACAGTTAGCCTGAGGAGTGAAAATAAAACATAGATATATTATATACATCTATATAGATAGGGATATAGCTATACAGCCAATATATCTACAACTTTATTTGTGACCTCCTGATAAGCTTAGTTATTGGTCAAGGCAAACAGACTAATCATGTGGTGAATTCTGGATAAATTCTTTCTTCTTTACAATATTTTCCAAGATGACTCTTAATGGCTGGGATGAGATTATCCCTTTTCTCTAGCAAAGAGTGTATTCTCACCACAAAAGACAAAATGCAATACATGCTCTGGACACCTAAAACTAACATAGTATTGAATGTCAACTTTAATTGAAAAAAAATTTTTTTTTAATCGTTTAAAGAAAAAAATGAAATGCAGGATCAAAACATACATAACTAAAATGTAAAACTGACTGTGTCTGAGTAGTGGGTATATACTTTGAAAATAATAGGGAGCAGCGTTGTGATATAAAGGTTTTGCATACTCTTTGGGCGTCCTGTGCCCTCTTGGGACCTAATCATACACTGCTTCCGTGTAAGTGACCCAGATACACACACACACATTATTGTTTAATGGGAAATAATTAAAGCGGGTAGCATCTTGTGAGATACCGTAAATGAGTATATTTTGATACACTTGTGAGCCTAAGGCTAGGTGAGAACTATGTTAATAAGCAAATATTTAATATATGTAGTTCAGTTTTCAGTTTTCCTTCAGTTAGATTTCATTTAACTAAAACTAAATTTAGCTAATGCTTAGAGCTGAATTGGAGCCTTTTGAGTTATATATAGAAATATAAGTTGATTTTTATTTGTTTTCCTAGTATCCATTTCAATGATAAAGTCAATATATTTGTATCACATTGTAAAGATAACTTAAAGAATCTCTATCAGATAATATTTATTGGTTTAGCAAATACTTGTGTAGGGCCTACTATGTGCCAAGCACTGTTCTACGTGCCTTGAAAAATACGAACTCATTCAATATAAGAACTCTGATTCACCGCACACAAAAAACTTCAACATTGTGATTCCTAGACAAAGAAGAAAATAGCTTTCTAACTAGAGTTACACAAATTAGGAATAGAATTTGTCATCTTATTGTAACTTCCACACATATACTTGCTGTATCAGAAAGAAACCATATGCTACATTTTCATATTAAATTCTTAGAGTATCCTAACCTGAATCATTCAAACTTGGCCTTGGGTATCTCTAGTGAAAATTCTTTGAGTTGACACCTATCTAATATGTGGATCTTAAAATAAATAAATAAATAAATGAGCTGAATAGAAACACACTCCTAGATTCAGAGAACATTTTGATGGTTGCCAGAGGGGAGGGGGGTTGGGGGAATAGGTAAAAAGGCGAGGGGATTAGGAAGTAGAGATTTGGTAGTCACAGAATGGTCACAGGGATGTGAAGTACAGCATAGGGAATATAGTCAATAATATTGTAATAACTATGCATGGTGTCAGATGGGTACTAGATTTATCAGGGTGATCACTTCATAAGTTATGTCAATGTCTAATCACTGGGTTGTATACCTGAAACTTACATAAACTGTAATTGAAAAATAAAAAAATTATAAAAAATAATTTCTATTTTCAGAAAGAGATTGTTTTGAAATTGTAATGGCCTCTGATGGTAATCTCCACACTCACTAAACAAACAAGCCTTCTCTTAGACACTCAGTGACCAGGACACGTTTATGACGGAGTTGTGTGCAAAGATCCTGCTGTCCGATGAAATAGTTTTTTAGCCGCAGCATGTTAAAAATGTAATATATCTCAAGGAGATGAACCAATAAATTACAGATCTTGGGGCTCAAAACTGATGTGAAAAAATAAAACCAATTCACTTGGACAGTATCTTTTACTATAATTCAAATCCAGCTCCAGTTCAATAAAAACGAATAGTTTTAAATTAACTTTTATATTCTATTTGGTTCAACTCCTTACTGTTTTCTCTATATAATTAATTTATGAAAACTGCATGTTGCTTCCCTATGGTCCTGTGCATGTGAACTACGGTGCCTTTAACCTTTTCACAAAACCCTCTCTGTTCATAGATGAAAGAAAAGTATGTTTTCAACCTAGGCCTTATGTTTGATGATTGTAAAGATAATTTTGAACGAAATGCTGCTGTTTAGTTTCCACAGTGCCTTCACAGCCTGATAATCAGTTTTCCCACCCCGACAAACTCAAAAGGATGAGCAAGTCTGTTCCAGCATTTCTCCAAGATGAGGCAAGTTAACCTTTTGTACCTTCAGAAAAAATGGAACCAAATAAGTGGATTTGCTCTGCCAAGGTTGGTGTGTGTGTACTGAGCTGTGGCAGAGGCCGGAGGTCAGCGGGACTGACCCTTGCCTTTCATATCAATAGAGGTAGTGTTGTTGATCCTGGAACAAGGCAAGGCACGTCTCATTGGACTCAAACAGTAACTCTTTTTGGGTAGTGAAGTCAAATTGCATAGATTTGGGAATGTGACTTTTGTTTCATACTGGGTACAAAATAAGAAATCTAGGCAGAAATATGTTGGCATGAGGTAATGACTCCTCTGTAGTTTAGAGTCCAGTTGGTTTGTGAATGCTTGAAAACATTTATTAAAGTAATAAAGTAAAAATGTCATAGAAAACGTTAAGGATATCTACTGGATGTATACGTTATCTCCTTTAATCTTCTAACAACCCTGGAAGTGGGCACCATCATTGTTACCAGATATTACAGATGAGGAAACAGCCTAAGGGAGGTGAAGTCTACCTCGCTCAGCTAGAAAGAGAGGTGAAGTAACCTCACTCAGCTAGAAAGGGGTTGAACCTGGGCTGGAGCCCAGATCTGACTCCCATGCTATTATAACCATTGTAACTACTGTCTCAAGTAAGAACATGATTATTTACTATTCATTGAGTACCTAGTAAGTACCAAGCATTTAATATTCATTCTGTTACCTAACTCTCACTAACTAAATGTGACACTATTTTCTCCATTTTATAAAAGAAGAGGTTAAGTAATTTCCCCCAATTCCAACAGCTACTAAAAAGTAGATCTAGAACTGTAACTCAAATCCTTTGACTTAAGATTCCATGTTCTTGTAGCCAGGTAATTAGGAGCCTCAGCTTTGGAGTTAGACATTCCCAGTCCTGGATATGCTACTAATTTGCTGTGTTATTACAGACAAGTTCCTTAACTTCCCTGAGTCTAGTTTCTTAGTATCTCCCTCGTTAGGTTGTGAGGAGTCAGTGAGATAATGTGGGGAAAGCACACAGCACAGTGCCTGACACATGGTGAGTACCCAATAAGTATTAGCTCTTACTATTTGCAGTTTGTGTCTGATTTTTGATGGAGAAATAAATAGCTTCATCCTCAAGCATTATCTTCATAGATAGAATGTGAGGAAAGCTCTGGACAGCACATAAATTACAGCTCACCTCCCCCACCTCCTGGGCACCATTCTTGGGCCTTAGATGAACAGTATCTGCAAATAGTCAGCCCTTGAATATTTTTCAGAACCCGTATTACAGTGACTTTGGGAAGAACCACTCGTTCTTGGAAATTAACTCATTAGCTGGAAGCCAGTGGTAGACTCCTCATGGAGTTGCTGTGCTTTTATACCTTTGTAAATATGCTTTCGTCTTGATCGCTCATATGAATGAACCATATAATAAAAGGCAATCGATACCAGTTCCTGGTTTTTTATTTTTGTCCTGCCTTCAGTTTCAACCTGCTGCCTCAGCTCCACACAAAAGAGTCTAAATCTTTTGAGTTTGCTCATCAGAGATGCCAAGTTTAGCTGTACATTTTACCTTTCAGAGTACATGGGGTTGGACTGAATTTCACAGGAAGTGGAGATGAAATCAGGCCTTGCTCCTTTGTCCACTGCCCCTTTGATGCCGAGTTAGCATCAGTGACGTGTGTTGAGTGCCAATTATGTGAAAATCAGTGTTCCAGGTCAACAAGACAGGGTCACATCCTTCCAATAACTCAGTAATGATCTGATACACTAGATAGAGCGGAGTACATGCTGTAATAGAGGGAAATGGGCTGTAAGCATGTGGGGGGAGCATGTGACAACAGGGACATTAAAAAGGTTTGGATTTTTTTTTTTTTTAATCCTTGAGGATTCTTTTCTCATCCATATAATTTGTAAATTTTGTTTTTCTTTAACTCCTTTCTTAATCTGCATTGTAATTGGCATCTGTTATATTGATACATAATTGCATGGCCATGGAATATGTTGGCATGAACTAACTACTCCCTAATCCCAGGAGCCATGGAACTGCCCCATAAACTCTCTAACTCCCAAAGGAGCTCTTTCTGAATCATGAATTTAAAAAAAAAAAAATCTAATAAACTTTAGATCTAAATATAATAAAATGTATTATTGCCACTTTTCTTTCTTTACCCAGGTATAAAATATTTCCTGGGAGATATATATATATAGATAGATATATATAGATATATATAGAGATATATATATAGATATATATAGATATAGATATATATACACACACACACATATGCCTATATACACACACACACACACACACATATATATATATATAAAATAAGTATCTTGTTGCTTTTTTTTTTTAAATGTGTTAAAATCTAATATGGGTAGAATACATAATTTAATATACTTCCCTATAGCAGAAAAAAGATAAGCACAATAGCACTATAGAAATACATGAGACATGGTTTCAAATTTCTTAGTATATCACATTTAGTTGAAACAGATCAGATTAGCGTTTATTTTTCCTAGTTTAATTTGATATTTAGGGAAGTTAAGGCTATGTTAATAATGGGAGGAATTAAGCATGACATTTTATGTTTTGACAGTAAAACTTAGAACTTTTATTGTCTGGGTAAAGTTAATTTCTCATACATATCAGTAAAGTCCTCCAAGGAGCATAAATATGTAACATCGAGAGAGCAGCAAGGAGCCCACAGTGGTACTGTCCTCTGTAGCACCTTGGGGCCACCTTGTAGGTGAAAAAACCACACCACTGCTATTTTGGTAGCTGAGCACTGCTTTCCTCGGGTGAGGTCCAAGGCAGCCCGGCCCACCCCATCCGGAATCCCGTTCCCTGGCAGTTAGTCCTTTGACCTTGGGAAATGTCCTCCATCAGTGTGATGCCAAGATATTACCTTTATCTACACAGAGGATCTGAGCCTGACTCATTCTGAATTTAAACTGTGTCTGTATTATATGATGTCTTGTAGAGTGATGACAGAGAAACAGACACAGCATCAGAAAGCAGCTACCAGCTCAGCAGACACAAGAAGAGCCCAAGCTCTCTAACCAATCTTAGCAGCTCCTCTGGCATGACGTCCCTGTCGTCTGTATGTAAACAAAGGCTCCGTGTTAATCCCTCCGCTCCGCCAACCTCACCCTCCCACGCTCCTGCTCCTGTCCAGCGGCCTCCTGTTGTGTTGCTCGGGTTCCAAGGGCATGAGCTTTCTCTCACCCGCCATTGGCTTCTGGCTAGCGAAATCCTCCTGTTTCTCTCTTCTTTTAAGCATAGAAGTTCCTATCCATTATAAGTCAATACGGTTTTTTGGATGTACAGACTCCAAAATAAACTTAAATTACCAACAAAATGACCCACTGAATTTTTCTGTGCAATACATGGGTAATTATGACCAAGTCTGCCTATATCAGATATGCTTTTATATACCATTGGCAGGTATAGAATTGTATCTCTCTTTTTTTTTTTTTTTATCAAGCCTGATGAGTAAAAGTACTAATTCAAATAAAAGAGTGGGAAAGGTGATTCTTCACCTAATAAAAAGGATTCTGAACAGGGTTTTAAAGGCAAAGCTCCCTAAGTGTGGTTGCTGAGATGTGATTTAGAGAATCTGACGTCACATAGAACTTCTTTCATAAAGTGAGGTAGTTCTATGTGCATGTAGTAGGTGTGTAGAAATATATGCAAATATATCTATGTACACTAATCCAAATATTTCTCTGATATACCTACACATGTCTTGCCAGGCATGCTAAATAAATAATAAAGCTGTGCTTAAATTCTTATGAGCCTTACATTTCTCAGGCTGCTCTTTTAAAATCGAAGTTGAATTTCTGCTGACAACAATCTAATGCATGGGAAGGTCTTGGGAAGGCTTTAAACTCCCTTCATCAATCATCCATTTTCTACCCTTCCTGACCTCTAAAAGCCTATGGCTCAATAAGCATTTTCCTGGATTCAGCAGATGGGTAACATAGTAAAATTCCTTTTTAGTGCCTTGGAAATGTGATAGAGCAACGTGTCACTATGATTTGTGTGCCTGGGGTTTCTCACATCCCCTTTCTTTAACTTTTTAAATACTAAGCATGCCTAAAAATGGAACTCTGAAAGCCCCTTACCCTAAAATCACCCTGCTGTGAAATGAACCAGCACCTAAGTAACTTTGCATTTCGCTTTTCACCTGTGTCTCTCAGGAGCAATTTTTTTAACCAGTCGGGTTGTGTATACCAAGTCAGGTTATCTGCATTGGTGTGTCTTTATGCCAGATTAAATTAGAGGCTTTTATATGCAAACGAGAAATAATGGCAAGCAAGGATTTATATCCATGATCCCTGTGTTGGGTTCAAGAGCGAGACAGAGACAAATGCTGCATGTTTCCAATGCTTTCAGGTGAGCGGCAGTGTGATGAGCGTTTACAGTGGGGACTTTGGCAATCTGGAGGTGAAAGGAAGTATCCAGTTCGCAGTTGACTACATGGACTCACTGAAGGAGCTGCATATCTTTGTGGCCCAGTGTAAAGACTTAGCTGCCGCAGACATTAGAAAACAGCGTTCAGACCCGTAAGTACATCTGGAGTCACTGTTTTCTCTTAGTTACTCTTAGTCATGTAGAAATTGGGAAGGAAAGAAAGTAATTGAAGGGGGTCGGTATGTGTGTGACTGTTTAAATGAATGTTTGAAAGGACAAGTTGGGGTGAGGGGAATGCTGTGTTATTTACTTTATATATTCATATGCCAGGCTTATTAAATTGCAAAAATGTCAGAGAAGCCCAAAATGCTTATAGTTGGAAGGAACTGTTGAGGTCATGATGTCCAGGTCCTTCTTTTTACAGATAACAAAACAAGGACCAGAGAAGATAAGCAGCCTATTTCCATAAATTCAGATAGTCAGTGACAAAATGAGGACTGAGAGCTTGAGCCCCAGACCTTGGTCTCTTTCCATGGCATTCTCAAACCTTCTCTAAAATTAGGGACATGTGGGGCCTACTGCACAATGTTCAGTGGTCCAAAATTAGTTAAGATTCTCGAAGGAGGGGGTTTCCATATTTAAATTATATTCTATAGAAGTACTTTAGGGGGAATTACCAATCCATCTTTGAAATCACAGGTTTAATTGCATTTCAGTTTATTTGCAAAAGTTGAATGGCATTCCTCACTTATCCCTGTGCAGAAGTCTGATTCTTACTTTGCTAGCATAAGCCCAATCCTTTTTCCTTTTATTGTCAAAACAACTGAGCTTGATATCCTTTTATTTACTTTGAATATGGCTTGATTAGGTGTATGCTAAGATTAATTTTATTTAGAAAAACAGCCACAAAACCTGTTTTTAATAATTCTGCAAGCACCAAAGCCTTTCTTAACAGAAAAGGAGCCAGTGGAATTAAGCACCATTAGAGAGGTCTGTTGTCTTCCCTTTGACCCTATGTAAGGAAAGGAATTCATGATTAATTCCACCGAAATTGCTCCAAACTTTTAAGTATAAAGGTCTTGGTGAGAACATTTATTACTTACTGTTTTTCTCATTATCATGAAAAAATTATTTCTGTCCATTTCCAATGCATTTTTTTGAAGTAGGGGTGGAAACATCACTTTAATGTTCCCTGACCTTCTTGTCTGTTCAATTCTCTTTTTAGATATGTCAAGACTTACCTGTTGCCAGACAAGGGCAAAATGGGCAAGAAGAAGACACTTGTCGTGAAGAAAACGTTAAATCCTGTGTATAATGAGATACTGCGGGTATCTATGAACTCCCTTATCTAGAAAGCCCCCAAGTGGTGACCGATGTGTTTAGCCATATGTTCTTGAGTAGTACCTCTACAGATGAAGTCAGCTGCCCAGGGAGGAGAGGGAAAGGAAGCACCTTTTGCTGAGAAACTGCTTTGTGTGAGATGATATGTCGTGAACGTTGTGTGCAGTATCTCACACACTCCCTATCCACTCTGCCAGGCGGGTGCTAGTGTCTGCATCTCACAGATGCGGCAAATGACCCTTAGAGAAATAAAGTAACTTGCTCAAGGATACACAACAGATGAAGTTGAGCATTGCAACCAAATGGCCTCAAAGCCAAATTCTCATGGTGGTTTTTCTCTGCTTAAAGGCTTTTAGGATTCCCATTAGCCCTAAGAGTCAAGTCCATCCTTAACACGCACACCAGTCCCTTCACAACCTGAGCTCCTGCTTCATCTTTTCACGGTCATGGGCTTTGTTCAGGATACCCTGATTGCTTTCTGTTCTTTGGAAGAACTACGTTTTCTCACACTGCTGGGACTTTGTGTTTCCTCAGGCTGGAATATTCTTCCCCACATTCTATCCCTGGCTACCTCCTGCAGCCTTAAATGGCTCTTCCTATGAGCAGCTGTCCTTCACCCCTCAGGCCCCCTGCTGTCTGCTGCCTCTCTCTGTGTGTGTGTGTGTGTGTGTGTGTGTGTGTGTGTGTGTGTGTGTGTATGGCCTGTTGTAAAATATAGCCTATTGTGAATGTTAAGAGTTTACTACATGAAGAGATGAGTATACATTAAACACTTAGTAAATGTTGACTCTTAGTATAGTGCCTGGGATAGGTACTCAAGAAATGCTTATTGGAAGGACAGGTAGATGGACAGATGAGTGGAAAGTATACCTGGCTCAAATACAAATATTCTCTCTCTCCTCTCCCCTCCCGCAAACTGCATGATGCTACCTTAGTTATGAGTAACGAAAAATTTAAAAGTACACATAGAAGTATTATTCATTCCCTCTTTCTGAAAATTCTGTCCAAGTATTTGGTTATCCTCTGAGAAAAGAAGTAGAGTTAAATTAATTCTCAGTCATCCATGGGTGAATTTTCTGTAGCAAGTTTTTAATTACAGTTTGACTATGCTATACCTCAGTACTCTAGCTATTTCTAGGTCAGCTACTTCAGCCCTACACTCAGGAAAAGCCAGATCATTTAAATAGTAAACTCAGAGAAAAACAAGTCTGCTACAACCAAAATGAACATTCAAGTAGTACATCATAAAGCCAAATAGAGATTATTTTTAGATTATAAGTACTATCATCCCTTCCATGATTACATATAATCAAGGACTGACTGTGTTTTAGATGAAAACTTTTTAGGATGCCAAATATTTTCCACTTGACCATACGAAACAGGAAAAAACAAATATATCTTTTCTTGAGAAATTCCTTGTCTTTGTAGGATATCAAGTGGGAGAGGTGGTCTGTATATAAGGGTTGGTGGCATATGGGAACTCTACTTCTCACTCAGTTTTGCTGTGAATCTAAAACTGCTCTAAAAAATAAAGCCTATTCAAAAAATATACCTTGTTCTTAGGTAGAAAACAGACCGTCGATTAAACTCCATTTGTATTTTTAGACTGAATTTGATTTATGTTCTACCACGTGAGAACTAAAAACATCCAGTAAAAAATTGAATAATCGGCTTTTGTTTTTAGAGAGCTATTACCGGCTATGATATCTGAGCCATGCACAGTTGGCTTTTTCCAAAGGGGCAAAGAAAATCGACTTTTGTGAAAGATGGGTTTTAGCTTCTTTGAAACAAGACCCTTAGAATAAGATGACTCTGCTATTCTTGAGACTTGAAACCTAACAGAGGAGAAAATCTGATCTGCACAGATGACTTTTCTCTTCATCTCTCTATGTCATAACTTTGGCACGAAGCAATATTATTCACCCCTCTTATTTCCTTCTTTGAACTGCAGTATAAAATCGAAAAGCAAATCCTAAAGACGCAGAAGCTGAACCTGTCTGTATGGCATCGGGATACATTTAAACGCAATAGTTTTCTAGGGGAAGTGGAACTTGATTTGGAAACTTGGGACTGGGACGACAAGCAGAATAAACAATTGAAGTGGTACCCCCTGAAGCGGAAGGTGAGTGCAGAGCTGGTTGATTGGTTGGCTTGAGGCCCGCTGTGTAGGAGAATGGAAGTGCAATATATAAAATTGCACTTCCATTCAGAGTGCTTATCCGGAGTTTGGGATCAGTTTCCCTTTCCACTCAGTCTCATATGCCTTATTTTCTTTTGTGTAATCTCCCCCCCGCCCCCCATGCTTCAGGTTGGCTATTGTTTTGTTAACCTACCTTTCAGTTCAATAATTTCCTGCCCAGCCGGGAGTGGCTAAGCAGTTGAGCGTTGACCCAGGATCCAGGCGATCGGGGTTCGATTCCCGGTCAGGGCACATGCCCGGGTTGCGGGCTCGGGAGCCTGCAGGAGGCAGCCGATCAATGACTCTCTCATCATTGATGTTTCTATCTCTCTATCCCTCTCCTTTCCTCTCTATGAAATCAATAAAGATATATTAAAAATAATAATAATAATAATTTCCTTATCTGCTATGTCTAATATGCTGTGATACCCATCTACAGGCTCTCAATTATTATATTTTTCAGTTTTATGTTTTCACTTGATTCTTTTTTTATAAATGCCACTTCTCTGCTAGAATTTTCCATCTTAACATTTTCTTTATAAATACCTTAACTCAGAGTTATGGGAAGTGTGTATCTGAAAACTCTGATGTCTTAAACATTTGTGAGTCTTTCTTATCCAAATTTTTTATTTTGTTTTGGTCCTTTGTCCTAGTATGCCTATTCATTTGTTATTGAATGCTGGACATGGCGTATGGAAAATTCTAGGGATAACTTGAGAGGGTTTTTGCTTCTGACACACAGAGTAGGGACAGACCACCTTAATCTAGCCTGGGAATGGACTGACTAGAAGCTGGGGTTCGGTTCCCATGTGGTCCGATCTAGCTTTTGTTTCCCGGTATTCCTAGACTGTGGCCCTTCAGGGCGGTCCAACTGAAAGCCTAGGGATGTCTCCCTCCCTCCCTTCCAATATATCTTTATTGATTTCAGAGAGAGGAAGGGAGAGGGAGAGAGAATTGAAACATCAATGATGAGAGAGTCGTCATTGATCGGCCGCCTCCTGCATGCCCCCAACTGGGGATGGAGCCCGCAACCGGGGCATGTGCCCTGACCGGGAATCGAACCACGATCTTCTGGATCCTAGGTCAATGCTCAACCGCTGAGCCACGCCTGGCCCGGCCAGGCTCCAACAAATTTTCAAGCATTGTTGCTGATGCTGGCCTGTGGACCATACTTTGGGAACCACTGATCTATATTATTATCTGAGGCCATTCCTCCTTAGCTGGCCTTGGACTGCAATTTTTGTCTCCCCAGCCTTATGAGACTACCAAAAGCCCTGCTCAGCTTCTTATAAGGTCTCTTTCTGCTAGGCTTTTTATTCTCTCAGTTGGGCACAACTTATCTGAATCATTCTTTAGCACCCTCAAGTAGATTTTATAATTGATTTTTTTATTCTTAGTATGAGGGATGATGTGACCTTAGCTAGTCCATCATAGCTAGAATTGATACATATAAACAATTATACAAATCATTATTTAGTATCTACATAATAAAACAGTTCCTTTTAAGAAGTGCTTCCTAGACATTGCATCAAAATCACCTGAAGCACTTATTTCTGGCCCTACCCAAGACTTGCTGGATCCGAATTCCTTAGAAGATGTTAAAAGCATTCCTTTTTAATTAACTTGCATTATGTTTCTGATGCCTTGTCATGTTTTGGAAATAAGGTTCTAAAGATTTTGAAAGTAAAACCATCTCTCCTATACTTGAAAATATAGATAAATATTTTAAAATTATTGTCTAGTCTTTGTTATTCTTACGGACATCTACTCATTTGGTCTTAAATAATCAGGTCAATGCAGCTTTGAAAATGCAGTATTTGGCTTTCCCCCACCCCCACCTTCCCACACCCTTCTCACTCCTTCAAAGAAAGAAAATATAAATGAGTTGTTTTATGTGCTAGATGGATGATTTATGTGTTTTTATAAAAACCAAGGCATCCTCCAACACCTCTCCCATCTCCAAGAAAGCCGTTCTGATTTCTCCACTATCTCTGAGACTAAAGGCCTTGAAACGTGTTCTGGGTACCCCAAGATACACAGTAGAGCTCTCCCAGATATAAAAGCAACAGTCTAGCTCTGATGGAGAGAGAAATTTTAATCCAGGGCACTCATGAGTGATATGTTGTTCCAGAAATGGGGCAGATAAGGTCCTGTAACAGAGTACCAACAGACAGGGTAAATAGTTTGTGTCTCACACCTGCTGACATTCCTTTGTTTTTCAGACAGCACCCGTTGCCCTTGAAGCAGAAAACAGAGGTGAAATGAAATTAGCTCTCCAGTATGTCCCAGAGCCAGTTCCTGGTAGGTAATGATTTTCTGTCCAGCTTTATCCCCTTTCCTTATCCCCTACTCTCCAAGGATTTCAAGTCCTAAACAAATTTATTAACTTAGTAATCATATAGGCCAAATGAGTTAATTCACAGTGGTAAACTAGAACATTCTCATTTTTTTATTGTGATAAAAACACATAAAATTCACAATATGAATGACCTTTTCTGTATTCAGAATTTGGACCTATTGATGGTGCTGTGAATATAATGGAACCTGAGTGTTGATTTTCACAGGTGGGAATTAGAAGATTCATATGAACCCTTAAGAAATTAGAGCTCATTGGTCTTCCATTCTCAAGGCCTCGCCAGGAGAGAAAGCTTTTTCCTGAAAGTTACTCATTGTAATCTTTCCTGAAGATTACTAATTCTTGATGTTAGGGCTTCGGGTCTACAGCCCATTAGGAAGTAAGAGGCAGGCAGGAAATGAATGCCAGTCCCCCTGTCATTTCCCAAGCAAGTTCCCCAGGTTATTCTTCTTACGAATCTGTATGAATGTTATAATAGGAATCAGGGATTGCACACTCAGATTCTTTCAGGAACCAGGCAGTGAAGCTAGTGGGATGAAAGACACAATGGGTGGTGAGGGCAGTGACTGAACTAGAGAAAGACATTCTATTCAGTTAAATAAAAATAAAAAGAAAGATTTGGAGGGCAAGGAAACATATCTTTAGGTCAGATGGCTGCCAAACCACCATCTTGTTACTTCTGGATCTTTCTAAAATGCAGATTCTTTTATATATAATTTCTGCCCTATCATTTATGGTCAACATGCACAGAAATTCTACCAATCTCATTTCCCATTTTCTCCACTATCATTTCTTGGTGTTGGGCACTGGGGGACTGTGTGCTGTGATGGGCTCCTCCTCGTCTGAGTTTTTACTCATGTAATTTCTCTTCTCTGTATTGGCTTAATCTTCTTCTTAACCTATACAAGTCTTAGAGGAAGTCCTGTCTCCCTCATACAGATTTTCCTGACTATATTCCCCTCACTGATCACGTGGTCTCCTAGAACATTACAGTAATAACTAGGCATTTCATTCCTTATTACATTTTTATAGTTTTTATTGAGTTACTCTCTCTAGCTTAATGGTAAACATCCCAAGGGCATAGATTTCTTGTCTTCCTTGTATAGGCAATGACATTCCTAGCATAGGGCTGAACACATAATAGATGCTCGTTAAATACTGGTTGGTTGGTTCGTTGGCTGGTTGAGTTGACTCATCCAGAAAAATATGATAGTATTCCTCTGTCCAGGTGCACCCAACCTAGACAACAACTTCAGACTAAACCAACTTCTCAGTAATTCCCTGTCCATAATAGTCACTTTTGTGTGTGTCTATATAACGCTCTTATAAAATGTGTGACTTTTTACACTCTCCTTTTAAAAAGAAGAGTGACTGTATCTTAACCAGTACCTTGTTTTGGTTACTTTGCAGTAATATGTTTAAAATACCTCCTGTCAGTACCAATTGATATTGGTATCAGTGTTTGAAAGGTATATGCATTTCACTGAGATATTTTGAATATAAGTATAAATGATGAGTCACATATCTGATATCTATAATTGATCCTGTGGAGCCAGCAAAACCCAACAAGAATGATGTAATACTCTGTACTTGGAATCAATATAAATTATTTTCATAGAGCTGTCTGAGCTCAATACAACCAGACTATAAAAGATATAATTAAGAATGTATGGGCCTGGCCAGCACAGATCAGTGATTGTCAACCCATGAACCAGGAGGTCACAGCTCTATTCCCAGTCAGGGCACATGCCCGGGTTTCAGGCTCGATCCCCAGTAGGGGGTGTGCAGGAGGCAGCCGATCAATGACTTTCTCTCATCATTGATGTTTCTCTCTCTCTCTCCCTTTCCCTTCCTCTCTCTGAAATCAGTAAAAACATATTTTTTTTTAAAAAAAAGGAATGTATGGATTTAACCAATTAGGATCATATCATCAAGCACTAGCTGGTATCTCTGTCCTAGGCCATTTTTAAATTGGCATCTTTAGATGCAGTATTGCCAAGAGAGGCATGGCAGTAAAATTTTATTTTCTCTTTTTTCTGCTACAGGTAAAAAGCTTCCTACAACTGGAGAAGTGCACATCTGGGTGAAGGAATGCCTTGATCTACCACAGCTAAGGGGCAGCCATCTAAATTCTTTTGTTAAATGGTAACAGCATTGATATATCCACCTCCCTCAGTTCTATAGTCACCTGGCCTTTGCTGGTTGATTTTAATTCTCTATATCTGTGATACTGAAACTCATCATCCACAGTTTAAATGAAATACCTTGAAACAGTGACTCCATGAACTGGAGGGATCCGTGACATGAACCCAACAAGGCTTCATATAGTTTTAAAATCATAAAAACAAGAGAGCATATATAAAAATGAAACCAGACACCACATGCTCAGATATGTAATGTCTTCTAGGAGTTATATCTACTGGTGGGAACAATATTCAGTACTAAAAAGTTTATGCAATTTCTAACAGTGGATGTCACGCCTCTTGGCTCCTTGGGGAAGCGCCTGTTTTGTGGCCCATTTGTAAAAGGCCTTTGGCATCAGCCTGCAAATACCTGAGAAATTATTTGCTAAACAATTCTTATGAGCTGTTCTAATAGCTCATAAGAGTTTGAGACAGTTGGGGTTCTTAAGTGGCAGACTTTTTTCTCTGTTACACATATAAATGCCTGATATCTAGTAAATAGTAACTAGACAGATATTAATGTGCCATCCTAGCTCCCTCTAACTGATTTTAACTATACAGATTCTACCGGAAGTCCAGTTGTAGCTATCTAATTTTATATGACATTATTTATGATTTTCCCTCTACGTGTTCTTTTTAAAATTAAATTTATTGGGGTAACATTAGTTAATAACATTATATAAGTTTCAGGTGTACAATTCTATAATACGTCATCTGTATAATGCGCTGTGTGCTCCCCACCCAAAGCCTGTTCTCCTGTCGCCATATATTTGACCCCCTTGCCCTCTTCATCCACCCCCCACTCCCCCGTCCCCTCAGGTAATCACCATACTATTGCCTGTGTCTGTGAGTTCGTTTTGTATGTTGCTCTCTGTTTTATATCCCGCATATGGGTGAAATTGTGTGGTTCTTGTCTTTTCCCACCTGACTTCTTTCACTTCGTATGATACACTCCGGATCTGTCCATGCTGTTGCAAATGGTAATATGTCATCATTTTAATGGCTGAGTAGTGTTTCATTGTACAAATGTACCACAGATTCTTTATCCAATCATCCATCAAAGTACATTTAGGTTGTTTCCATGTCTTGGCTACCGTGAATAATGCTACAAGTGAACATAGGGTTATGACACCGATACACAAAAATTAACTCCAAATGGATTCAAGACTTGAATATAAGACTGAAAACAGTAAAATATATCGAAGGAGATATTGGTGCTAAACTTAAGGACCTTGGTCTTAGAGAGGGTTTTGTGAACTTGACCCCAAAGGCAAGGGACATAAAAGCAAAAGTAAATGAGTGGGACCACATCAAACTAAAAAGCTTCTGCACAGCAAGAAGACACCATCCACAGAACAAAAAGGCAACATTCTTCATAGATGCTGGTAAAATTTTTCAGCTCAGGTCAGTTTCCTATTTTGAGACTAGCCTCAGACCTTTTTGCCTTTATAAGGGGCATGATAGGTTAAAGTTACTCAGTTATTACCATAAATTAAATGTAAATAATTGCAAATATATAATTTATTCCCCAAATCAAATCTAATAAATCAGAGAGGTTTCTCTTCTTTTTTAATTCTGCACAAGACTAATTCCCTAGACTATCACAGATAATCAGGAATAGACTGTGCTTCCCAAATTTTAAAGGCATCCTCAAACAATTGCGACATAGTAAGCGCTGAATTACTACAAAAATGCAGGAACTGAACTAAGCTGTTTGCTTAATATGTAATTTTAATATTAACCTTATGAAGGAGGCATTCCCATTTCCATTTTATAGATTAGGAAGCAAGCATCTGAGAGGTTAAGTAACTTTCCCTACCATACACAGCCAGTAAGTGGCAGAGTCAGGGCGCAAAGCAAGTCCAGTCCACTCTAACACAGTCTCAACTGCAGGATGGCCCCTACCAGCAGCACCGTTTCTTTCCTCCCCTTCCTCCCACCAGTCCTCCGTAGCTGCATTGAAGTGCACCAGCAGCATAAACGTTCACTATCTCATTAAAATGCTCTCACAATGATGTTTCCTTTTGTAGTACCATCCTTCCAGATACAAGTAGGAAAAGTCGCCAGAGGACAAGAGCCGTGGGGAAAACCACCACCCCTGTCTTCAACCACACCATGGTCTACGATGGGTTCAGGCCCGAGGATCTGACGGAAGCCTGCGTGGAGCTTACCGTCTGGGACCATTACAAACTAACCAACCAGTTTTTGGGAGGTCTTCGGATAGGCTTTGGAACGGGTAATATTTGTTACATTTTTAATTTTCTATGAGCCAAATGATTCTGGAGACACTAGAGGTTTGTTGCTTTGCTTCTTCCTAATCAAAACATATTTTAGTTCTGATAAGTGTAATGAAATGAGTGAGTGAAGGAGTGCCAGGCTGTGTGCTCAAGGCTCTGGATATGAAGATTAACAGGATGCAGTGTCTGTCCACATAGACCTTGCCTTCTTGCAGGGGGGAACAGAAAAGCCCTCATCACTACTCTTCCCTGAAAAAAACATGGCCCTTCCTAGTTAAAAGTGTGCTTTGAATAATAATAGTAACATTTATGGAGCACTCGTGACTGTACTAAGTTTTTTATTTGCATTNTATGGCCCTTCCTAGTTAAAAGTGTGCTTTGAATAATAATAGTAAGTAACATTTATGGAGCACTCGTGACTGTACTAAGTTTTTTATTTGCATTATTTCACTTAATCCTCACAGCAATTAGATGAGTAGTTACTAATGTTATCTCCAGCACAACTGATGTTCCAAAAAATTAAGTAACAGCTAATAAGTGGCAGAGCCAAGATTCAAAATTGAGTCTGTTCAGCACTAAAGCTGTAACTGCACTTCCTTAGAGATGATCTAGTGTCACTTCCAACCCAATGTGGGAATCCTTCCTACCTAAGCCTGTGACAGATTGTCATCTAGCTTTTATATGACCGTGAAGAGAAAACATTACTCTGGCAACAGAGTACTCATCTCAGATGGTTAAACATTTCTTTCTTATATGGAGTCCCAGATCTGCCTTCCTGGTGATGTTAAAACTTCCTAGCTGACTTCCATTGGCGATTATAATTAAAGAATGACACCCCCCACCCCCGCAATGAGAGATTCCTTTTTTAATGCAAAGCTTCCTNCTTCCTAGCTGACTTCCATTGGCGATTATAATTAAAGAATGATACTCACCCCCCACCCCCGCAATGAGAGATTCCTTTTTTAATGCAAAGCTTCCTTTTTTTCTCAGGTAAAAGCTATGGTACTGAAGTGGATTGGATGGACTCTACTCCAGAGGAAGTTGCTCTCTGGGAAAAGATGGTAAATTCTCCCAACACTTGGATTGAAGCAACCCTGCCTCTCAGAATGCTGTTGATTGCAAAGATTTCCAAATAAGCCCAAAGTCCATTGGGTCCTCCACCAAAAACTACTAAACAGATGGAATCTGACCTTGAAAATCTGACCAGGTAGACAGAGATCCTCACCTCCTATCTGTCAGCACTCATGAACGCTACATAGCATTTTAAAGTCAACCTGCATATGCCTCTTTGGTTACAAGGCCCAAGAGATTTAAATGATAACAAAGTGCATAATGTATTTGCGACCCTAGCATTAAAGAAGATATTTGAGAAAGCTGGGAAAATCCCACTATTGCTTCAAAGAAAAAGCTGCCAAAAAATATGAAATGTGGGGTGCTGTTAACGGGAAAAGTTCTCTAGTTTGCTTTCATGTGCTTCACACCACTCTTGTGCTGTAGTTAGGAGAGCCTAACTCTTGACCATTGAATTCCTTACAGGAACTGCAAATATATAGGCTGTGGGGAAAAAGTGACAAAAAGATACTTATGAGGGGGAGAAAAATGCAGAATAAAGACTTTGACCATAGAAAACTATTTACTCTGTAATCTCTATTAAAATATGAACTTCCATGTTAGGGCAATGAGACTGAGTTTACTGCATGTGTTTTCTGTCTTGAGAAACTGCTTTCCCTTTTCCCAGTGTTAAAATGGTCTCAAATATGCTTTGGTGCCATCCACTGGCCATAGGTGGAATTCAGTTTTTGGTTTAATTTTCTCCTAAGGTACAAGCCTGTATTTTGAAATAGAGTATACAAAAAAGCAAAAAACAAAAAACCTTCCATATATAAGATTCTGCTTTTCTTATAACTCTACTATATGAAAGCAGCATGAGAGTGGTCACAGACATGCTTTGCAACAAAGTTTTAATTAGAATGTAGATTGTTAAATTATACTGTACTCCCTATTATATGTATAATTTTCGTAAAGTATTTTGTAAAAACCCTTAGAATAAATTATTATGACTTAAAATGTGTTGTCAAATTAATCTGACTTCTTATTTTATGATTTTATGGGGTTTTTTAAATCCTCACCTGAGAATGTTCTGAGAGAGGGGGGCAGGGACTTTACGTGCTGCCACTGGGGATCAAACTTTCAACCCAGGTATGTGCCCTGACCGGGAATTGAACTGGCAACCTTTCAGTACACAGGACAGTGCTCAACCAGCTGAGCCACTCTGGCAGGGCCTGGCATCTTACTTTAAATGAAAAATACTTTATGTTAGGAATTCTAAAATCTAAATTCCCTAGCAAGGCTAAAGAAATTCTGCTAGGTTAATATTTCTCCAGAGTCTTTACTGCAACTCTGGACATTATTTCCTCTAAGTGGGAGGTTTTGGCTATTTTATTAAGTGTTTTTACTTTTAAAAAAGTAGTTGAAAAGCTTTGAAGATAAGTTAACATTTATTCTTGAAAAGTCTTCCACAGAGACCTTTTTTAGTCCTTTCATATATAAAGCATTACTTCCCCTTAGGACCCAACTAGCTTGCCTTTCTCAAAATAAGAACTGATTTAACGTGGCCTAGGAGAAGTCTAGGTGGTGGGGGAGTGTGAGAGCTATAGCCGGGGTCTAACATGTCATTGAGAACAGCCAGAGTGCTTGCCCCCTCCCGCAAACAGGTAGAACTTTCTACACACTTGCCAATAAGAGCAGCTAACCCAGACCAAGGCCTTTCCCATTGTCTGTCAAGGTATTTTAGATGGGCATTTAGTCTAACTCTGTTTCCTCTTCTTGTGCTGACCATGGGGAGCGGCAAGATGAGCTGACCGAGAAGGTCAGCCCAGAACAGTAGCAGAAGAGCAAATCCTATTCCGGCTCCTGCCGCTTCACCACAGGCACAAGCTACTGTCTGAGCCTTTCCTTCAGTTACCTGGTCAGCCGCCTCCCAGCAGCCAGCCAGCTCTGACGCGCCAATGAGATTGGTTCTAGTATGTCCCCATCTAGGACTAGGACTACCTTCCTCCTTGAATATCGGGATCCCTGACACCAGAGTGGGTAATAGAAGCACCCTCCTTGCATCTGCCCACAGCACTTCCAATTGCCTCAGGACATCCAGGGGATTTCTGGCACATTTTCTTTCTGAAGAAGAAAATATAAATCATAACTTTAAATCTCACCTAGCTACAAAGCAACTTTCATGCATTGTAAAGTGTGGGCAACCTGGATTCTTCAGTGGACTCAAATTTACAGACTTGAGCCCTTGGGGCTTTTAAGCAAAGTTCCTGCTAAAACTTTAATAAATATATATGTTTTTATTACTGACTCTATTACAGATGTCCCCCATTCCCCCCC